CACGACCGGAAGGAGCGGAAGCGGTCGACTGTGGCATAATAAAAGCTCCGCTGCTCTCGAGCCGCGTGTCACGCTCGTTCAGCGCCTCGTTTCGCTTCGACGGCTTTCAGCCTCACCCTGCTTCATTCTACTACGTTAATAAATCAGTAGCTCATCCATGAACATGATTTCTGCCCGAGTCCCGTCGGATTGCATCGGCTGTGGGGATGAAGACCACAACTCCCATGATTCTACACTCAGTCACTGCGTCATAAAACTACACTTTTGTTTATTTGTTTATTTTGAATACGCGCCCTCTAGCGGCGAAAATTACATATTGTGCCTTTAAAATACTTTTGGGTCAACATACAAAAATTAACTGACCTTTTAATGACTTATTTATTAAAGCTCTTGCTATGCTTAGTTATTATGAAGTTTTATCATCCCATTTAAAGTCAGAATAGAAGTCAGACACACCTGACAGAACATGACGAGGTCCTGCTTTTCTTTTGCAATGACTTCATCATTCTCCGCTCCGGGGATGGTGGGGGAACGCATTCCAGTCTGTCTCAGTTTCTCAACAACTTCAGCAAACAGTGTGTTTTTGTTGAGCGCGGGTCTCGGGGAGAAGGTCTGTCTGCACTCTGGACAGCTGCACAACTTCTGGTTCTTCTGCTCCCAGTAGCTCTTAATGCACTCCAAACAGTAGTTGTGTCCACAAGGAATGGTCACGGGGTCCCGCAGAAGGTCCATACAGATGGTACAGCTGAACTGCTCCTGATTAACAAAAATACCAGCTTCTTCCTCTGCCATCTTTTACAGTTAAGGTAAAAGACAGACTGGAGAGAGTATGGCGTTTGCTTGTGCCTCCCACTATTGTCTGTATATGAGGTTGTAATGGGAGGAGTCCGTCGTGTACAGTTTGTGTCACTCTGGTCATGTTTCAGAGGAGTCACATGCTTAATGAAGTCATTAAATCTTTGTTGTTTTGTAATGAATATTTTCATCTTTACCTCAGAAAAGTGATTCACAGCCTCGAGTACGCAAGCAAAGCTTCGGGAAAGATCAACCCCAGGGATGATGCTGGTTGTTCCAGACAGTGCATGTCTGTTCATGCCCACTGGATGAATGCGTGCATAATAACATGTTTCATAAGATGTTTCTGGATAATTTTTTGGCACTTTGGGAGACAAAGAGGGTGTGGATATTTGTAATGTAATATGTGCACAAACATAAAGGGTGTGTGTAAATAAATTATGCAACATTAAAATAAAATAGCAAATATTGTAGCCTATACAATTCACCATCACAATAAATCGCGATTAATCATTTGACGGCACTAATATACAGTAGCCTATATATATATATATATATATATATATAAGCTAATTGTTATGATTATAATTTGCTAATTATAAGCAATATTGGGAATGGATAACGGATGGGGACAGTGGGGACAGTACATCCAAAATTGTATTCACTACATTTCAAATTCACTTTAAATGACTTACCAGGCTGTCAATGAAATCAGCCTTTTTTTCTGCATATTTCAAGCGTTTTGTTCTGCTGTATTTTTAATTGTGATAGAGCCACTGACAGTATTATGTTCTCCACGCTAGAGGTCGCTCTTTCCATAACCGGCTGTCTGCACCAGTCTTCACTATCAGCGTGTTCTTCTCAAAAACATTAGAATGAAAGTGAAAAACGGGCGGGGTTTAGTGGCTCAGACGTTTCCTCTTATTGGTCAAGTATTATGTGTCTAAATAATAATTGTCATATTTAAAATCTTCACCCTTTTAATATCAATTCATTGGCTATTAAAGTTTATTAGTGCCATTATTCCGTTGCAAATTATTGTCCAGGCCGACGCTGAAGCAGCACATAAACTCGTGATGCGTGTTACTTTTCTGATCAATGGGTAGGATGCACCATTCACAGTCGAATGTGATTACTGGATAAGAGTTTTCGAATGTGATTTTATAGAAATTACTGCGGTGAGTTAGTCTGCTTGTTTCTCAGATAACAATCCTTGAAATGAATTTATTTAATATTTTATACTTTATGGTGCACAAATATCATTAATAACTCAAAATGCGTTCAGAGATTTGAATGTGACTCAATGGACGCTTGAGTTTTCTGAGCCACCAAACGCCCCTCAGAGGTGTCTAATATGAAAGTTAATAGTAACTTTAGTCGTCTCATGGTTCGTGTTGTGCGTGCAATTTTGTCTCAAAGCCGATGGCAGTGCACCCTCTTCCATTGGCTCATGACAGCAACTGAGTGGATGTAATAAATATTTCATCTTCTGCTCTGCTGGACTAAATCTAACGTTACACAATCTGTGTGACAGAAGTCAGCACAACACAGGCAGGTAGCTGTTACTTTCCTTTCATTCTGTTAGATAGCTGTGTGTTCAGTCATGTGGCAAAGTATCAGCATGTATTGCACATGTACTGCTGCTTTGTTGTCCATGTTTGACCTATCAAATATTTTTTCAAATGACAAATGAGTTAATACGCTTATTTGAGAGCAGGGAACTATTGTGCACTTGAACTTGCGTCTCTGCACAGCTGTGGTCATTTTACAAGGTCCTTCAAGGTCCACATATGTTTATTAAAGTTTTAATTTATTGCACCTTCTCAGCACTGCCCTCTTTTCATGTTCCTGTGATCCTGCAATAGTGCCACGGTCTCGTGCATGAGGGTCAGACTCATTCCTCTTATGTGACAACTGTAACTTAAAAAAAAAAATGAATATGGTTGTGCTGTTTTATTAAGGAACTACATCAAATAAAGGGGTGCACCACCATACCAGATATTCAGAAATATGCTCAGGTCAAGCATGCACTTTATTAGTGTTTTTAACATTTTATTTTATGAATTAAATCGATTATTTACACATTGGCAAGAAAATGAACTAGGCTGTAAATAAAGCAATAAACATGGTTCTTAACAGAATGGAAATAAATGCTTATGCTTTGGGGTGTATAATCTAAATTATGTAAATAAGTTTATTTCATTTTTATCAAACAGAGTCTAGGATTTTAAAGTGACAAACCAGCTAATAAGTCAAACCTCACAGAACTGATCAAGGCATATCAGTACTTACAGATGTTTGTTGTTGTTTCACACCAGAAATAAGTAAAATTGAGGACATGGGAAAAGCCTGTGACATTATTACAAGTACAACCATATTCCCAATAAAAAATATTCCCAAAACATTTCTGGTTCGAAACAGCTTTGTAGTTACAATATTTAAAATTCACTCATACTGTAAGTTCACTTAATTATTATATTGTTATAAAACAAATATAAACAAAACTTTTAAAATATATTGAGGAAATGGAAACTTAATGCATGCCAGCAATGACCCATGAGTCAGATTTCATGCTCAGTCATTTCCTTAAGTGTATATGTAAAAGTCATTTAATTTTTTTCCCAAATTTGGTGTTTGATGTTTTCATATTTCTGGATTGCATTTAAATGGGTTAATTAAACTTTTAATTTAAAATGTTAAATTTAACAATGTAGTAAATCTTTTCAAATGTATTTAAATAAATATATACTTATACTTTATATATACAAATCGTATTTTTCTTTTCTTTTTTCTTTAAAAAGCTACACAAAGGAGTTTTATTATAACTAATAAAGTTTTTGACGCTTTGTGAGATTATGAATAGAAGAAGGATACCATTCCAGAATTCCCCAACCTGTCAGACTACTTCCTGGACACACCTGCTTTTCTAGCAAAGGAACATCTCCGAACAGAAAGAGGAAGTGCTTTAATCTCATTCTCTGATTCTGTGTGTGTCTGCTGGTGAGTACGTGTCATTTCGGGTTGTTTATATGTATATTTTTCTGATTTTCTTGCTGTGCAGAGTGACATTTAACCCTCAATGATTGTGCGGCAGTTGACGTGTAGGGGGCTGACCTCTCACCTCTGTACGGCAGTCAGACTGAACTGGAGCGCTCCAAAGATGGCTAGACCAAGCTCAAGTAAAACACTTTTAAGACTGTCTTCACTGTGTATGTATGGCAGTGGATGGCCTGTGAATTAAATGATTTGCAATTGGTTTCATTTTGCAGATTTAACAGAGTTTCGTGAGGATTTTGCTAAAGCCAAGCACATTGCTATCATTACGGGGGCCGGAGTGAGTGCAGAGAGTGGAGTACCAACCTTTAGAGGACAGGGGGGCTACTGGAGGAAATGGCAGGCACAGGTAACCCACACATATTGTATACACATCACACATTTTTTACTATCTGATCTTAGTTTCAATATAGGACGTATACCAAGGTTTTTCAAACGTTTTGATGCTAGGACTCAAATATGACAATCCCTTTGCGATGATCCCTTCCGTTGATAAAGGCAGCTATATATAAAGGAGAATATTAATATAATATTATTTTCCAAAATGACATTTTTAATATACCAAAACAAATTGTTAAAGGATTATCTTATTAAAATATTTTATTTTTAATTACGTTTACAATGTATGTGAGTTTAACAATGATTTTTATTTTAGAAAATTATTTTGGGGGAAAAAAAACTAGAAAAACAAAGAATATGAATTAATTACAATTAATGCATTGATTTCTGAAGTCTTTAAAAAGCATAATAAAATAGTATAACATTTTGTGAATGTGAATGTACCTTAAACAGATTTCATTAATATCTTAATGTTAACTTTGACAGCTCTAAAAAAAAATATATTTCAAATTTTTCACAGACACATTTGAAAACCCTTGACTTATATAGTACTTGGCAGAGCATAACAGCATAAGCACAGTGACTACAAGGCGATATCATGCTCCAATTGACAACATAACAACATAAAAAGTATTTCTTTGTTATGTAAAACACCTCATTTGAATCTGTGTGAGACTTTGAAAAGTAGTGGAAAAGTTACAGTAGGGTACCAGTTGTATATTATACTGCATGACTTTTCTTTAATTTATGATTCAGAATTATATACAAATGGGCCTGAAAAACATAGTTTACATTTTGCGTTGCAAATAATGACTGTACACTTTCAACATCTATTGTATTTGACAGCTCTGACCAAATTTGTCAGGCTACCTGTAACAGAGCATACAAACGCTGTAGTCACACCACGTGTAAGCAAGCAAACATTAATAATAATAATAATTTTAATATATTAATATTAAATATTAAAATGAACAATTTAATCAAATGAAAATATAACAATTCTTTTACAACAGAACATTGATGTTTTATTTTTTAAGTGCCACACAAGAGAATATATATAGATAATTTTATTATAAATAGTACTCTAATACTTTTCTGTCATAATTCTTCAAGTTCTTAGTTTCACACCACATGTACATAAGCGAACATTAACAGGAGTCTCTCTTTTCTTCTCTTTGTCTTTCAGGATTTGGCAACCCCTGAAGCTTTCTCTCGAGATCCTTCTTTAGTATGGGAATTTTACCATTACAGGCGGGAGGTGGGTCACACAATACTGACTAAATGGTTACCAATATCATAATGCCATTTGTTTCTTTCAGTGATCAATTTGGTATAGTATAATATAAATGCCTGGAATGCTATGTTTATACTTTAATGAGACTACTACTTTTCTTCTACTACTACTTTTTCTTCTATATGCATGTTTTGCATCCTTAGAATTGCAGTAAGGAATCTGAAAGAACGCCATTGTTTATTTCTGAGACTGAAATTCACACAGCATCCACAGGGTTACTTTACAATAGTAGATCGGTTATGAGAGGCGTGCTTGCATTTTTCTTTTTTTTTTTTTTTTAAATAGTCTTTATTAATGTTGTCACAATACCAAAATTTCAATTGTAGGTACCAATATGAGAAAAAAACACTATATTATAATATATCAAACCTATCTAAAATGTAATAATATAATAAAATATTTTAATTAACACTAACTGAAAAAAACGTATAAAATGCTAATAATTTTAAAAACTACTACGTAAAGATGATTATTATTACATTTTGAAAATTTTACTAGCCACTTTCAGCATCACATGTCGTTATGTATTTAAACACTGGGGTTGCAGTTAAACAATTAAGATGAATAATTAAACAAAAAATATTGTTTGGTTGCATCCTAATAACATCTTAATTGATTTCATTT